GATGTACAATGATTAGTTATTCTAAATTTGGGAGTCAGGATAAGGGGAGAGTCATTTTCCTTTAGCCTAGTGTTCTTCAGACTGAGGGGGGAGGGGTTGGGAAATTGATTTAGTGTGTTCTGACCAACAATTTAAAAAAGAGAAACAGAATGGAATGGAATAGAATGGGATGGGATGGAATGGAATTGCAGAGCAAAATAGAAAATAGAATGTATCTAGTAGAGGTTAACACTGTTCCATGTAACTTTAATTTCAGTTGTGTATGTGTGTGTGTGTGTGAGTATTGTCTTGGGTTATAACTTAACAGATATCTTTCTGAGGGTCACAATAAAAAAGTTTTAAATTCTCAAAAAAAGCGCATTAATATCCTCATTGAATTCTCTCTCTGTAAGGAGATAAATGACAAGGTAGCTTTTTTTCTGTTACAATTCCCAAAGAGTAGCATATGAATAACTGGGACCATTCAAGTCTCCCAAGAGCAGAAAGTTTCAGTCCTGCCTGGGAGATGTGACTGTATGCAGGTGTTCGCCGATAAGCGTGGGGAACAGTACCAGGAAGAGTCCGAGTTTACTTAATCCTCCTGTTTGGGCCCCATGCCTCACTTCTGCTTTCTTCTGTCTTTGGTGGCTTGAGCTGTGTTTTATTTGGATCATCTCAAAGAACCTCCAAGAATTTTCTAGATGACTTAGCACTTGCTCTCACCCCACCATTGCCCAATTGATGTAGTAAAAGACTAGCTAGCACCAAGGACTAGCAATGAGTGAGTCTTTCTCTCCCTTGCCCCAACTCCATCTCCCTCTGTCATTGCTAAGCCCTTAGTGGTCTCTCATGCTGTGTTCATTGCGCTAGAGGTGTCTGAATTTTTGCACAAAGGCAAAATAGCTCTGCATGTCTAAAAGTAAATGCTATTCATACTTAAGAGCTAGAACTTCTGGCACAAATTTTAAAACAATTTTCAAGCTGGGATAAAAAATATATTAGAAGCTGAACATATCCTGGGTTAAAAGGGGGAGAAGATAATATGGGAAAGAGGGGACCTCCCACCAGGACTGCATTGCATGTCACCCATCCTTGTAAGCTTTACTCCTTTTGCCTTTCTTGGATACCTGATTGCCCCAGCTATGCAGGCAGAACTAAGAGGTAAAGTGGGTGGCAGCAGGTAGAGGCGGATTACTTGGTGTATGGAATACTTATTTTTTGGTCCAAAACTTTACCTTTCTAATAACAGGTTCAGGGAGCCCTGGCTTTGAAATGTGTCTCAAAGTTTCTGTTCATACATGAGGATGTGACCGTCATGAAGTGAGTGCAATAAGTACCCTTCCTCAAGTCATAGGAAGCAAGTGTGCATCTACCCTGAGTTAATTCATATGTCTAGTATTCCATTCAGTTCTAGCTACCACATTTTCAAAACGTGTATCATAAACCTGCTTAGGTACTGCCAAACTTTTATCAAAATGGTTTTATCAGTTTATTCTTCCACCACCAATATATGTGTTCCTGCTTCCCAATACTCACACCACTGCTTGATTTTTTTATTTTAATTTTTGCCAGTCTGATGGGTATAAAATAACATTTTGTGGGTGTTATTGTTTGAAGTAGAATACACTGCTTCTGTTTTTTCTGAAGACACTATTTTAATTCTTTTCCTGCACATTTAACTTGAACATTTGAAATTAGTATGTTTACTCTCCTCTTGAACAACCTACAGACCTTCACATGCTTTAATTCTGAACAGCTCTTCTGTTTTCATTCAATTTCTGTGCAATATTTTAGTTGTAAAGTGGAGCCTCACTATTCACAGATACCTTGTTTGTGAATTTGCTTACTCATTAAAATTTATCTGTAACCCTGAAATCGATACTCACAGCACTTTCATGATAATTCATGGACTTGCACAGGACAGCAAAAAATCTGAGTTGCCTGATGCAGGTTCCCAGTGAAGATCAAACAAGGTAATACTCTGCCTTTTTGTGTCAACTCTTGTACCATCAACAACTGCCCTTTTGGTGATCTATTTGGTGTTATTTTTTCCTCCATTTTTGTGTTTCTGTTGGTGATCTTGCTGTTTAAATGGCCCCCAAACATAGTGCTGAAGTTGTCTAGTGTTCCTAAGTGTAAAAAAGCAGTGATGTGCCTTGTGGAGAAAGTATGTATTAGATAAGCTTCATTCAGGCATGAGTTATAGTACTGTTGGCTATAAGTTCAATGCTAATAAATCAACAATATAGTATAAAAATCTTCTGTAGCCTCCTGATCTACAGCACCTTGTTGTAGCAGCAGCTGTGCCCATTGGAAGACAACATCAACTTGTGCCACCTGCCCAGCCCCACCAAATAACAAGGGGTCAAATGTAACCAGCCTCTCAAACGGTGACTTGGATTATTTTTTAGGAAATGACTGAGATGAGCCATCTTCCCTTTCTTCCCCTCTCTATAGAGACAGGGGCCTTTAGGAGGATATTAGTTATCTGAGTTAAAACTCAGACAGTAAAGGACTTGCCTACAAGCCCAACTTTCATATGCAAACCAACCAATCCAGAGCCCATAGCCCAACCACCCTGAGGGGCCAATTGCCCCTTGCCAATTGTCAGTCATCCCAGGGCCCAGTACCAGACAGCCAGGGACAGTCCCTATACATATATGTATGTGTATACACACACACACACACACACACACACATATGTATTATATATATATATATATATATCTGAGTTAAACCCAATCCTGAGAATTCTAGGGAAAAGAATATGGCAGTAGCACCTTGAAAAGCAATCCCATTGGAGGGGTCATGGACCACTTAGACAGCTAGCATGTCACCTGCTCAGATGAGGCATAGCCCGGCTGCCTCCCTACTCAGGCCTTTCAAGTCCTGTCCCTTGGGGTGAAACTGACTGCCCTCCCACCTCCTAGTCCCGTCATCAATACAGCATCTTATTCTTGATTCCCTTTCCTGTCAATTCAGATGACAGAAGGACCGGGGAAGCGACATAAATGAGTGAACCAGGCTAGGCGTAGAGACATGTGGCCACCCACAGACAACTCATTCTGCTGAATGCTCCCATTACTCAACATCCAAAGCTGGCGGGTCCTCCAGTCTTTTAAGAGAAAATGGAAATCTGGCGTTATGAGAAATCTTTGAATGTTGAAAGGTTAACCAATAATTTTTAAATGTTTGAAACACCATGGGACCAAACCAGAAATATTAAGGCACAAGCTGAAGGTCTGCAATCTCTGATATAGGCTAACTCCTGTATTTTGTCAAGTAAAAATCCCCAACCCCTAAAAACTGCACAGTGTAGTTTGAAGACTCTGTACTCCGAGTCAGAGAAGATCGGGGCTCACATCTCTCATCTGCAGAGTTTACTGTATGATTTTGCGTAAGTTTCTTAGCCTTTCTACATCCTAGCTTTCTCAACTATGAAAGGGGGAAATTATATATCCTTCATAAAGTTTTAAAGGAAATAAATAAGATCATTGATAATACATAAAAATCACCTGGTGCATAATAAGTGTTTAGTGTCTCCTTTTCCCTCACAGCTAGCAAGTTGATAGAACTATGCAAGAATCCATAAACGTTTATCTCCTGAATCCAGCCGGGTTCTTTTCCCCACTGTTTCCTTACCTCTATGGCTCCCATTTTCAGTTTGTTACTCACAGGTCCCAAGAGGGAGCATACCATGCCATAGTGGCCACACAGGGAAATGCCATGGTCGGTCAAGAGGCAAAGGGAGTGAGGAAATATCAGCAAGAACCTTCATCGTAGTTTCCACAGGAAGGAACGAGCAAGACGAGGTAAGCAGGTTTAGGATTGGCTAGTTTGAATGATCTCAGTGGGCTCTCTGGGTATAGGGACTGTCCCTGGCTGTCTAGTACTGGGCCCTGGGGTGACTGATGGCAAGGGGCAAGTGGCCCCTCAGGGTGGTTGGGCTATGGGCTCTGGATTGGTTGGTTTGCATATGAAAGTTGGGCTTGTAGGCAAGTCCTTTACTGTCTCTAGGAATTGGCTAGCCCTGGGAAGGGCAGTCCCTCCTGGGTCTGCAAAGCCCCAGATGCCAAAGCATTAGGAATACAGAAAACATAAAGGCACGATTAATACAGAACATCCTCAAATCAGTGAGTGTTTGCCCCCTCCACTCGTCACTGGACAGATACCAGCATGTCGAAAAGGGGGCTTCCATAATAGGCTCCCAATATAAGGAAAAAAGAGGGAAAATGTGTTACTAAAAGGTTTTACAGGGAGAGGCCCCCTTGTGTTTGAATAGAAGAGAAGGTCAAGGTGCTTAGAGGGGAAAGTCAGCAGGAGATTAATGCACCCTTGAACCCAAAGCAGGGATAGTCATGCTGCTTTAAAAAAAAAAAGAAAAAGAAAAAAAAAGGTAGTTTTGCAGATAAGTGCAGTCCATGGCCTTCATTTCTGAATATCCTGGGTACTCTTTTTGAGGCTAAATGAAGCCCCACTCTCTGAGTGGAGAAAATTAAATTTGAACACTGAAATTGCAATGGAATGATGATGATTCTGCTTGAGTGCATTGACCTTTATCAATCATTTCATTAGAATTTCTGGAGCACAACGCTGGGCTAGGCTTTCCCTGCAACTGTCCTTCTGAAGAAAAAGCCTTCTCTCCTGGCTCCAGCCCAGACCATCATTCCCCAGCATCCTGAGATGGGGAAAGCAGTATCAAATCGGAAGAATTCCGTAATCTAGTTAGCGCATAGTTATAGTAGACAATGAACATAGCAGTCAGGCGGCAAAAGTCTCTAGAGAACGCTGTTTTTCTTCCTGTGACTGACTGAGAAAACAATAACATTTCTCAATATTCCTCCAACGGAGGCTTGGATTTCAGTCCTAGTATCAGACAAATTGCCGGTTGGAGGCTCTTCTGTCAGTTCAACTAGATAATCAGAAAGGAATGGTTAGGCACACATATACAAAACCACGCTCCTCAGAAAAGCAAAACGCTTTTAAAACCAGATTACCAGGATTTTAAAGACTGGACAACATTTTACTAATTAAGAAAAAATATTTTTATTCGCAAGAAATGGAAATACAAAAGCATAACAATTTCAGTTCATTTTTTTTTTCCAAACTAAGTACAAGTATCCTACAAAGCTTTTTTTTTTTTTTAATTTTTGGCATTTAACTTAGCTATGATAAAGAATAAAAGGCCATAAAAAAAAACAACCCAGCACAATATGACAGGTAATAGACTCACAATCCATTTAGCTTAAACACTGCTAGTCTATAGAACTATTACAAAAGAGAGGAGAGGTCCAGCCTGTCAGCACAGACATTAAAGCTCACGGTTGATTATAGTCTAGGGTCTGCTCAGCATTGTTTGAATAGGGTCCCTCACGATTCGTCAAGGTGTGCTGGTGTTTTCCATAGACTCATAGAACATTTTATCTGCGAGGGAGAGGCTTTAAGCAGTGCAGGCCATGGGTCCGTGGTGCAAAAAGTTCACGTTCTCACTTAGCTGGTGAGCCAAGACAGGAAAGAAGGAATGGAGCTAAAACCCCTGTTTTTTCTTTTCCAGGATGCAAAGCCTGCTAGCTGGAATTCACAGAAGACTAGATGAACAAGATAGGACATGAGCGACAGGTGGATACCTCCAGCAGGAAGCAAAGAACTAACGTTGCACAGTGGGCCCAGCAGACGGCATGGACACTGTGTCTCCAGCCTGGACAACCTTACAAGTTCCCGGAAAGTTCTGCCTAAACAAATCCACAAACTGCACTTCCCATACCACTTAGTGGTTTATCTATCTCCTAGTAGCTAGTTGCCCTGTTTTCTCGATAAAATTAAAAGCCAAAATGTATTAAGCACAGTACCCAGCACTTAATAAGTGCTCAAGAAATATTATCTCCCTTCCTTCTCAAAACCAAGACAAAAATAAAGCGTTCCTGAATTATGATGGCCCAAAAGGACAAAATGAAACAACACCTAGATTTGTCCTGTGCTAAGTGCAGGCTCTTTGGCCACAGAGAGAAGGAGCATCAATCCCCGAATGGGCCAGATTCCTTGGCCCTGAGAACATGTTCTGCCATGAGGATTTATAATAACTTTAATCCAGGCTGGCCAGTTTTTGATGTGACTGCAGCTCTACAACACGGGATTTTCCTAATGGACAAAACCTCATTTCTTTTCTCCCGATGTGCAAATCTGATCATTGTCTCAGCGGAAAAGCATTCAAATGAAATGGCTCTCACTAGAGCACTACCTGCTAATGGTTTCACAGGTCCCGTCAGCACTGCAAGCAGGAGAGCTGGTGTCTTTGATAAAGGTTTTGCAAAGGCTGGATTTGACAGAACCAAAGCAGTGACTCATGCAGACAAGGGGGAGGCCAAAAGCCCTTCTCGGTCTCCAATCTCCCCGACGTGAGCAAGACTAGCACGGATGGTCCATTTCCTCTGCAAAGAGCAGGGAGGTCTCCATTTGTGCGTCATACTCAAGTACACGCCCCGTAGGACATGTGTGCTCAAGAGCGGGCCCCAAGATGCCTCTGATGCTCTTTGTGGTTTTGCTTGGTCTGAGGCCATGGAGGAAAGGAGCCATAAGTGTTGAAAAATTTTAATGAAACACATGTGACCAAAATTCTGGACACTGCCTCAAGGCTAGAATAAAGATGAATCACTTCAACACTCCCGCTCTATGGGCACATGAGATTCACTGCCCTCTTTTGGCATCCAGGCTAAACTGAGAGATTTAGGAAGAAAAAAAAACATGGTAATTATAGTTGGTTTGTAAATAAGTTGAGCTAAAAGCTGCTCTCACAACCTACAAATTAGTTCTCCAAATCAAAATCATTTTTATTAGCAGAAAGGTTATCTAATTTTGCCTATGCTGGTGTCAAACCTCACCCCCCCCACACACACACAAAAGGAGCAACCTAGTTCAGCTGTCAGATTTTTACATAACACTCTCTTTATGTGACCGAGGCTCCAGAGTCCTAACACTTCACAGAAATTCTTTCTTAAACTGGCACTGAGGCCTTTCATCTTCAGCATCCATTTCTAAGGACAGAGTTAAGAGCTGTGGAAGGGCCAAGCTGGGCGGCCGGGGGGGGGGGGGGGGGGGGGCGGTCTGGGTTCCTCGGGGCTCAGCCAGTGAAAAAGTGCTTGTTCTTGGAATGTTTGCAAGACATCTCCTTCACCAGGGTAATCAAAGACAGGGAAGAGGAAACGCTGTTTACCTGATGAAAAACAGAATTAATGTCTTTATGAGTAGCCTATTTATTATTTATGGTTTACTAAATGATGATGCTAACAGTCTCATAGTATTCAAAACTGAAGTTTGGAGGCCAACATCTGCCTCTATTTGAAATCTTCAGGGTTGACCAGCATTACTGGCTGGTCTATGGGACTGCTCTACGGCGGGAAGCAAACCCAGTAACCGAGCACACATCCCTTAATTACTTGGCATTATCTGACTTTTCTGTGTCTTCTTCCCCCCCCCCCCCAGCATCCTCCTAAAGGGATATGTGTTTAGTTCCCTTGACTTGCCCAAAGAGGGAGTGGAGGGCAGAGGTTTTTCTCAAAATAGCAGCAAGGCTGATTCTTGGAACCCCCTTAACATGGCCATTTGAGCTCCCAGGCTGATGTCTCCTGTCTCCAGATAGAGCTTCAGTTCTGGAAGAAGAGCTTCCCAGAGAAAAGAGCCTGCTGTTTAGAGGTCCAGAGAGGTGGATGACAAGCAAAGGCAGGTAGGGGAGAAAATAAAATCCTCAAGGTACTAAGGACAGGCGCTGGACGTTTGCTGGCCCGTCCCTTCTCCCACCTCATTCAGAAGAGCAGGTTTCCCACCCCTGGCTAATCCAGGAGCCTTCAAAACCTGATCTGGTTCCACTGCAACAGGTGGGTAGGCTGACCCATGCTCACACTTCTGCCCTTAAATATAAAACTTTCCTTTTTCATTGACCAAACACTACTTGAGTTCATTCTTTTTACCTTCATAGGCCCCCACAGTGCCTGTGCCTGATACTTACATGGCATTTTAAAGAGAAGGATGGGTCAGCAGTGGCCCATGGCTACCCGACACCAGCCAGGCCCAGGAAAATCTAGAGCTGAAGAGATGGAGGGAATGGAGGGGAGAGAAGCAGGGGCAGGGGGCACGTTAGTAAGCCCTCTTCCTACACAGCTCACACAGCCCCTGCTCTCCCCTGGCCAATGTAAGGGGCCCTGAGAATGCGGCATCCCTGATCCAGCTTTACACATGGCTGAGAAGACACGCTTGGCATCTCCTGGTCTGCAACTCTCTCCATCACAGCAGAGACAGGGAGAAAGGAATCACTCACGGGGAGCCCCAGATGTACCTAGGCCGACAAAGCAGGGATCTGCTTATGAGGTATGATGGAAAAATGCTAATGACACCAAATCCTGCATCTACTATGGAATGGAAGGCCCAGGTATGGGCTTAATCCCTTGTAAGTACAGTTTCAATGACAGTGTAGACCAAAGAGAGAGAGAGAGTTAAAGCGAAAGGTCCTTCAGCTACTACTAAAAATAAAATACAAAATGTAAGCAAATTTCTTACACAAAATCTTTCACAAGCTAGGGAAAAACACTTAAAGTGAATCTTCTACATTATACAATGAAAAGGCAATTTCCATTTCTTATTTGTATGAAAGAAGAAAGGATTTTTTAAACTACAAAAGTTACTTTTAATCATTAAACAAACAAACAAAAAAAAGTAGGTTGGGGGGTTAGGTTGTATCTCTTTGGGTAAGCTGCAAAGTAGCCAAACCTGACTATAAAAGCTAAGACTATGGATACACAAATGTTACCTACTCCAACCCCAGGCCTCAGGCCCCTGTGTTGAGGCAGAAGAGGAGGGTAAAGCAGAAGTGGGGTGTGGGGGTGGAGAGGAGGGGGCTAGGAGCAGGTGTGAAGAGGCAAGCCAGCAAGGCTGTCCGAAATGCCTGTTGTCAGGGACAAGGACTCCCTTCTCTTATGGGAACAGGACAGAAAAAGCCTCTGATCACAGAGCCGCAGACCTGATTAAGGCATTTCCCTCTGACTTCGTTCTGTAGGAGGACACAAGCTTAAGGGGACTTCCCAATTATAATGACAGGCCTCCAGGTGAAGAAGGAGGAGGAAGAGGAAGAAAAAGAAGAAAATGGAAAAATAAAAAAACAAAAACAAAAACACCATCTGGAGGATTGGGGATCCCAGAGCTTAGGGTGCCCTCCTCGCTCCAAAGGCCACTTTGGAGGGAGGCGTCGGATCTTTTCAGTGTGGTTGCTAGTGGGGAAGCCTCAGCGAGCTAATAAATACTATTTACAAATGGGGAGGAGAAGCCAGGGAGGCAGACCTATGGGTATGTGGGGACGCAGGTTGTGGAAATGCCCTACAAGCAACAAGATGGGGCAGGTTCGCCTGGAGTAGAAAAGCCTGATTCTTTCAGGCATTGCACTTGCGGCCTGAGAATGGGGAAGGGGGAGCCCTCGCTCCAGTGCGGGGAGGACGATCTGCGAGGGCTCTGATGGCGCAGGGTGTCAGGGGTGCTCACTGAAGGCACTGGCACCTCCGGGGCTGTCGCGGGCAGGCACACCGGAGCCCCAGGCGGAGGAAGGCAGGACGTCAGTCAGTGCTTTGCCAGATCCCAACAGGCATTCTGGTATTTTTGTGGCTGGAGTCTGCAGTCTCACAGGAACAAGAGTCACCTCTTCTTCAAAGAGATGGTCACACCCCACAATGAAAATCAGGCAGTATCTTTTTGGCACTATTGGTAGAAACGAGCCTGCTTGTCCCAGCCACGATCCTAAAATATTTTCCTATGGCAGTACACAGGAGGGAGGGAGGGATGCCGGGCTCCCCTCTTCAGGGGGGAATGGAATGGAGGGGAAGGTGCTCTCTCACCGCAGGTCGAAATCCCAGGCTGTCCTCCCAACCAAAGCCACGACCGCTCGCCCATGTCTTCATCCAGATCAAAGGCAAAAAGGAAAAGCTTATGACAGAGGTGGTTTGGGGACGGGAAAGCAGAGTGAAGAGAAAGAGGGAGGTGGAGACAGCCTCTTCAGAAGGTGGCGTTCACTCTTCTGTCGAGTTCTACAACTTTTAGTGTCTCGTTCCCCTCCAGTTTGGCGCTGACCCTGGAAAGATACCAAAAGGAAAGAGTCTTAGCCACCAACTGACAACTACAATTCTCAGGCTTGGGAGTACAATACAATCATTCCACCACTGCAACTTTGTCAACTTTGTGGTGGGCCCAAACGGGTTCTCGTTCTAATTGCTTTAACTGAATGTATCTACAGAGGATGGTTAGCCTTATGCTAGACTCTAGAAAGAAGAGAATGAAAGGATAAAGCCTGATCCCTGGTCTAGAATACTAATCATTCAGATAAATTAAAAAAAAAAAGCTAAGTTGAAATAACACTAAACATATAACAGAAAATAAACATGTTATTAAACGGTGTAACAGCCTAGAAAGTCTCTAGGCACTCAGAGGGTTGAGGGCTTTGGTGTCAGGGAGACATCCCAAAACAAGTGAGGGTTTCAATGGGTCCCCGAACAGTTCAGCCAAGAGGGGAGAAGACTTGTGGCATGAGCCACGCAACCAAGCAGCTGAGTCTTCCATAGCTCCCAGTGGCACCTCTACAAATTTCTCTATAATGGAAATAATAATACCTAGCCTCTTAAAGTATTTAAAAGGATTTATAGATCACATTTGCATAGCACTTAAGGTAGTAGCTGCCAGTAAACGTCCAATATGCATGTATCATGTAAACATATAAAAGTACATGTAATCATGAACCTTCCCCACAGCTTTAGGGGAAAAAAGCTGCAGAATTTGAAGTAGAATCTTCAAGTGGGAGTACCTGCATTGGAATAGCATCATTTCTGGGAAGCACAGGGGTGAGTTCAGCGAGATCCCCACCCACGCCATGCATTGCCAGGAGTGTGCACGCAGACCCTCCTTCCTGTGCTGTTTGGCCATTTTCAGGAACCCCCCCTGGCACAATAACAGTATCTGGCCATCCTATAAGCCTTTATGTTTCCCAAAAGACTTTCCCCCTAACGATCTAAAAGAAACAACTCATGGAGAATTGGAACCCAGTGTTATTTTCAATACAGAAACATATCTATGCACAGTGCCCTCCTCTTTACATTGATGTCCCTTCAATGTAAATATATAATTATAATTAATACATGTTTATTTACATATAAATCATAAAACTCTATGTTGGCAAAGAGCATAACATATATGTATCTCTAGTTGGAGGGACTGTAGGGCAGGTGCCCTAAGGCTGCAGCTGCGTGGCAAGCACACTGCTAAGGCTGGGCTGTATGTTTACTTACGAGGCCTTGAGGGGAGGAAAGAGGGAGCCAAGCCCTTTGCCCACTTCCTGGAGCCACCGCCTCTCCCGTGACAAAGCAGACATGGGGGCAGCTCATCCTAGGTCCCCCCCACCTCCCGTCTCTGCTAAGGGCAGCTGTTGGCAAGGAGTAGACTCTCCCGAGTCCCAGGGTCCCAGAAATAGATCCTGAAAGAGCCCAGGGGCTGGACTGGGCCCATGGGAAAGTCTACACCCCACACTCCAGGTTGCTGACTCACAACCCATCATCAGTGCATTAGGGGAGTTGCATCTGTGGGTACTTGACTCACAAGTGCTGCTGTAGCTCCAACAGCACTGATTTCTCCAGGCTGGTCTCATTGGAGATAATGAAATGGGGAAGATCCACATCAGGCCTGGTCTCCAACCCTGATGCCCTGAGCAGAGAGGACCCTCTGTCCCAGTGCCCAAGCTCCCCAGCCGAGGCTGGGCTGGATGGCTCCTCCAGGGGAGAATGTTCCTCGTAGATCAGCAGATTCCTGGATCTCACTGAGGACAGAGCAAAGTAACAGGTGTTAGGGAAAAACCATAGGGTTTATCCCATCCCCTCACTCAACGCCCAGGGCCGGGAGCAGATGAGAATTTGTGGGTTCTTTTGCCCAGAACTGAGGGTGCCAGCTGGAGTTGGCTTTCCATAAAGGCTTCAGGGTTTCAGAGTTGTGTGCACTGAAAAATTATACCAATTATACAGTGCTGGAAGAACAATAGAAAAGCAAATAAACATGAAACAAACTGCCACTCCCACTGCTTTGAAACTAAAACTCCCCTCCTTGCCCACCCAAAACCATCTGGGGGAAACAATTCATGAAGAATGGGAGTAAAATGCTTAGAGATGTCCAGACCAGCTAAAATAAGAAACATTTCCAATGAGTTGGTCTTGCATGGAGAGAAGGTACAAGGGCAGAAAATGGCATTTTCATTTAGAAACCGGAGAGAAGCCACAAAGCCAAAGCCATAAATCAAATGAGAGAGACAGTTTCTTTGTTTGATAGGATAGTTGCAGAGCTAGATGGCTCTGCAGCAATTTTCTACAACATAGAAACTCTGCTCTCGTTGGCTTCCATTTAAATTTACAGATCTATTCCCTTATGGGGAAAAGGAAGAATTTCCCAAGAGATCACTGAAATTATGTGGTTGAAATGCTAGCATTTCTGTCATAAACCTGGCAGAGATATAACCACCTGGTGAAGACCAGAGACCTTTCAGATCTGCAAAACTGTGCCTACCCCAAATCTGGTACCCCCAACTTCACACTTGTTCTTATTAGTGTATATGTGTATTCATGTATATATTATGATCCCCAAAGGCCACTTCATTATTTCCTACATACCTAAAAGGGACCATTGATCTAGGTGAGGTTATCACACCTCTAACACTTGAGTCTCTAAATTCTCTAGATCTTGGTCATAATGTTTTGTAAGACAGATTCACTTCACAAATTCTTACTATGGTAACATATAATTCCACTAAGTAGAAAATGTCACAGAAAGCTTAATGCCCCCCTCCATTTACTCCCCCACCCCGCACCAAATCCACATCCCTCCCCCTTATCAGAGCTCAAAAAGGAGACCTCAGATTTTGCCAGGGAACATAGTTTAGAGCAAGAGTTTGGAAACTGTACTCTTCTCTAGAGAATTCCCAGTGGTGCCTCAGGCCAGTGGGTGAGGGGTACAAGAAGGGGCCCAGACGCCTAGGAACCAGACGCCCCCCGTGTCCTTCCCTCCCTTCAATAGAGAAGCTACACTTTTACCACTTTTTAAAGATAAGACTTTCTCAGAAGCCTTCCTTCAGAAAGTTGAGCTTTCAGAAAGCTCCAGAGAACTGAAACAAGATGCTTTATAAGTTGCCGAGTGCCATCTTACCGACAGAGGCTGTATACGGCTCCTGCACAGAATGCTGGCTGGGCAGAGCCATCTTGGTGGCAGAAGGATAGGGCCCGTAGCCCTGAAAGCTGCCAAATGCAACAGCAAAGCATAGCACAACCACCTGCAGGGGGAGGAGAGAGCATAGGGAGCTGTCAGTTCCACGATCTGCAGAGCAAACCTCTAGCCCTACAACACCCAGACTCCCCTTCATCAGGCCAGACTGCATCAACAGGTCAACCCCTGTAACATCAGAGCAAAGGAACTGCCTCAGAGTGAGCTTCATCGCTCCTCCAACCCCACTTGGACGTGGCAAGTTGGGGAGAGACTGGAGACTCGGGAGCAGGGGGGGCGGCAGGGCACTTGCGGAGCTGTCCCTTTGGGAAACTCACCATGAGGCACGTGCCAGTCTGCGTGCCCGCCAACTTGCAGGTGCGTGAAACCTTGCCCATCACCAAAGTCTGAAGCTTCTGCAGTTGCTGCAGGAGAGTTCTGCAAACACAGCAAATCAGAGCCATGAGGAAAGTCTGAATCAGAAGAGAGTGCTTTCAGATGATGTCTGCCCCCGTGTCCTGGGGAAGCTGCTGTAGGTTCGTGTCTGAATTTGAACACACAGAGCCTAGGGAAAGTCTTGTTTGGAGGGAGATATGGACACCAGTGCCTTCGAGCACCAGTGGTGCAGAGCTCCCCAGAATTTGGAATGAGTCCCCCCACTTTAACAGCCTGTCCAGTTCCTGTGCTGTTCTGAGTAAGAGGTGAATGCCCCAAATTATCCCTGACATGCTGGGACTCATCTGTCAGCCACTGAGACAAAACAAACAAACAAAAAACAAAAAGAACAATTCGATGGGCAGGTGATGGTGGTACAAGAACTCATTTACCTACGTACGAGAAGGGAAACGCTGAAGAAGATGTAACAAAGGAGAAAAGCAGAGAACTGAAGCAGTGGCCAGAGGTGGTGGCTGTCATTGGAAATGGTGGAAGTATCCGTGAGCCACAGTCACTCAGACAGCAAACTTGAGGAGAAAGAGAGGAAGAACAAGAATGGCAGGGGAGGCAAACAGCCAGGGGCACCTCACACCCGTGGTCTTTGTGGGCTCACGGCATCTCTACAACCAGAAATGAAGCCAAAATATGACAGAGCAAAGAAGTCTGCTCAACTGGACGCATGCTCAGAGCCAGGGATCTCGGAAACCATCCTCCCTTACAGACTCTGATCTTTCTCCAGATAGAGACAGGGAGCAGGAGCAAAAAAGAGTTGTTCTCTCCCTAAAATTGGACAACTGTGCATACCCTTAAAAGGGAAGGGTTTGGGATGAGAATCCTATATTCTGGTCTGTGTGACATCAGGTCACAGAAAGAGCAGATGGTGACATTCTTTGCAAATTCTGAACACTGCAAGCCGCAGAAAAGGATCTTACAACACAGCCTCCTGAATCAGAGCCTCTGGGATAAATCCGTGTGAGCAGCCTAGAGCTGAAGCTCCTCTTTGTCTCACTCCTTTCCCCAAGCCCCATGCACATGGCAAAGTGGAATGATTTTATAAGCAGATGCTTTTTCTTGAGTCTTAGAAATTTTCAAAAAATTCATGCTGTGATGTCACATCAGAAAGCCAGACAAGCTCATTGGGAAACATCAGCAAATCACTCATTTGCATTATTCTGGGCTCTCCCAGAGAACCTGCCTCTAGACACAATCTACCTCCTGAAGAGCTTTCAAGTACTACAAGGACTAGCTAGTCTTTCCAGAGTTTGCAACTTCCACCCTGACAAGCGCCAATGACACGAGTTCTCCTGGGGGTTAAGCCAAGCAGGGACAGGTTGGCCATAGGATGACACTGCTGTCAGCAGCTAGCTGGCTAAGAGTGGGGACAGAATTGGGGCAGCCCACAGCACTTGGGGCAGAAGCCTTCTGAACTAAAAAAACAAAACAAACAAAAAAACCCCCCAAAACCCAAAACAACAACAAAACAACAAAACCAATACTGTATGGTCCTGGTGAACTTATGCAAAACAAAATCATTCATCCCATTAATCAATATCATTAATTTAAATTCTATTAATATGGAGCTCTTTTTAGTACCTTGTTGTACATTTTTTTGTTCATTGTTATCTAGAAGTATAATCACAGTTGTTTGGACCTGGTTTCTGTATATTCAGGCAACATGTTCTTTAAAAGTGTTCTGTATGTTGCTCAAGGCTGAGAAATACTGATAGTATGATTATTTTAAATTCCTCCTGCAGAGAGCCTGTCATCTCTGACAATATGGATGATGTACCTGGAGGGCATTACACTAAGTGAAATAAGCCAAATAGAGAAAGAAAAACACCATATGGTATCACTTATATATGGAACCTTAAAAAAAATTATTTTTTTAAGTTGAATTCAAGAGTAGAAAAGTAGTTGCCCAAGGCTGGGGGTTGGGAGAAATAGGGAGAGGCCGGTAAAAGAATACAAACTTTTAGCCATAAGATGAATAAGGTCGCAGGATCTAATGTACAACATAGTAACTCTACTCTGTCACGCTGTATGGGATGATTGAAATTTGCTAAGGGAGTTGAACTAAAATGCACTCACTAGAAAATTAAAAACAAAAAAAAGTAAACATGTGAGGTGATGGATGCATTAATTAATGTGAGGAATACTTTCACAATGTATGCATATATCAAATCGTACGCTTTAAATATCTAACAATTTTGTCAATTATACCTCAACTGCTGAGAAAAAAAGGGGAAAAAAGAGATCATATAATTCAGCAAGTTTTTTCCCCAGCTCTTTTGAAGAGCACTCCATTCTCAGCTACTAGCATAGCTGTCTTTCCAAAACCGGGCGCTAAGTGACCTAATGCACACCCACTTCCTGGGTGAGCATTCATTCTCACAGTGCTAATATGTGGCTGGCAGTAGCTTACATTTTACTGACCACCATCTGTGGTGCTGGCCCCAAAGCCTTCACTGGGTTCTCTCTGCTGTATTTTGGGATTTCTAGAACAGATACAGGTGAGCCCACAGATAAGACCTGTACCTGACCATAGGGCACAAACCCTTTTCTCTCATATTCTGGCCTCCTTCTGTGGTACTGATTGTTTTTGTTGCCTGCTAGACTATGGAAAGGGGTCTCCCAGTTTCCTTGCTTGCTGCTGAGGAACGATGTCTTAAAGCAATGGCTACCCCTTTGGGGGGGGGGGGGGGGAGGGCACCTCAACTCCCACAGGGCACCCCTGCTGCCTGAGCTGGCAGTCTGAGGTGCTCAAGTTCAGCTGTGCTCTGTGGAGCTTTCTAGATGTTACCAAAGCCATTTCCCTTTGCTCCAAAGTCCTAAGGTGATTTTAAAGTGAAACCCAATTCCCTATTTTACCAACCAACCTTATTCACCCACGACCATCCCACACTTCCTTCCTGCCTGTTCCCTGCTCCTTGCTCCATCTTTAGAGTGTGAAACACCAAGAAAACCAAATCCACAAATTACTTGGAATCACGCCTCCCTTCAAATTTATGGTTGAGAAAACTAGCCCTGGTACCACCTGCCCTAGGCTGAAGAGTCTCCCAGGAGGCTCCATTGTGCCCCCTGAAAGCGGACCTCTAACAGACCAGACACACCTAAACACCAGCAGCAGGATGTCTTAGCCTCAAGTTGGGACCCCTAACTATGGAGGCAAAGTATTACAATTTGGAAGAAGGGCCATTTAAGTAGGGCTGGGTGAGCAGGAAGGCTTGATGTTTTCCAGTTGTATGGCAGTTTCCATGGCATTCAGCAGCACATCTTCTCCAAACTCAAGATAATTATATTCTGAATCCACTGCAAATGTAAATAGTTGTTTAATGGTCCCTGATTTCTAACAGTTTATAATCCCACTCTTTGAGATGAGCAAACATGTAGTTTTAAAATAGATTTTTTTTTAGCTTGAAATGTTGGTGGAAAGCAACAGTGATTGATCATGTGTTATTTGCTGCTTCTCCTCCTCAGATCAGTGAAGGTGAACTGAGCTGATGGTGCAAATGATGACACTCTGAAGTCCATCCATCAGCAACTCCGAGTGATTTCACCCAAGGGAAGTGATTGAGCTTATCCAACCCCAAATCTAAACAGATTTCTATGATCCAGTCAAGTCTGGGAAATTCATATATATTCATTCATGCAACAGAAACATTCATTTTTGTCATAAGGAAAGGAAATTAACAGTGACTGAGCACCCACTGATTGAGTTCTAGGAACTCCATATACTGAGGTACCAAACAACTGTCATAAGTTGAAGACCTCATCTGTAAACTAAAACCTGATTCTGTAGTTCATGGACTTTCCAATGCATGACAACATGGTACCCTCATTGATAACCTAATAAAATCAATAACCTAAATACCTCTTAGTTAGGCAGATTTTTCTTAAACCTAGGGACATTAACATCATATCAACAACAGCCCAATGAAGAGATACATACACCATTAGATAAGACAAGGTTACTATGGGGGGTGCCTGGGTGGCTCAGTTGGTTAAGAGTTTGATCCTTGATTTCAGTTCAGGTCATGATCTCAGGGTCATGAGATCGAGCCCCACATCGGGCTCCATGCTGGGCATGAAGCCTGCTAAAGATTCTCTCTCTCTGCCTCTCCCTCTGCCCCTCCCCCCATACACTCACTCTGGAGCTCTCTCTAAAAGAAAAAAAAAGAAAAGGTTACTATCAACAGGGGCCTAGCCACAGATGGCAGAGCCACAATAAAAATCAGTCCAATGGCAATGAGGTCCATACTAACAAAGTCTCCGTGACAATGATACAAATAAAACAAGGGCACATGAACATCTCCTGGCACATCTCCGGCCATACCAAAGATACAGTGTCAAGTGAGAGGTAAAAGAATCAAGGGTGCTCCTTGCCCTATGTCAGGTGTCTGGAAGTCAAACCTGGGCTTTGTTCAGGAAAATGGAAACTACAAGACCTGTCCCTCTGTGAGACACTGGAAGAGTAGATGAGATGGCTTTAGGATTGGTGTGTCTGCACCGGAACAGGGGATTGGCTGAGTTTAGATCTTGGTACCACTGCTGCATACCTTTGATAAAGTTATCTGGGTCCTAAGTTTAGGTGGCTAATCAAAGTAAATTCCTGTGACCTCATCAGCTAACAAAAGAATGAGAGAATCCCCCCTCCTGGAGTACTCTGGGTTTCTTAAAGCAAAGACACCTTTCAAGAGTACTTGCTGTCCCTTTCCACTGATGACTGATGAAGCCAGCCCTTTACAGGGAAGCCTGGGGCCTCCTAACTGAAACAGTGGTCTGAGATGGTGTGGGATTCTCCCCGATGCCACTGGGACAGATGCCACGGCCCGCAGCACTGGGAGGGTGGATAACAGCTCTTACCCTGCTTGCACGAAGGGCTGGCTGAAGGAAAGGCAGCCATCAGATGAAACGGAAGAATCATTTTAAAGCCAAAGCTATAAAAAGCCAACCATAGGACAGACCCAACAGTGCATTCAAAGCCCAGGATAAACTTTTCCTTT